AAGAAATACTAAGAGGGAAGTTTATTGTGATAAATGCTTACACCAAAAGAATAGAAAGACTTCAAATAGACAACCTAACATTACACCTCAAAGAACTAGAAAAACGAGAACAATCCAATCCCAAAATAACTAGACATAGAAAGAAATGATTAAGATCAGAGCAGAACTAAATGAAAGAGACCAAAAATACAATACAAAAGATCAATGAAACAAAAAGTTGTTTTTGGGGAGATAAACAAAATAGACAAAACATTAGCCAGACTAACTAAAAAAAGAGAGAGATGACTGAAATACCAAAAATGAGAAATGAAAAAGGAAACATCACAACTGATACCAGAAAAATACAAAGAATCATTAGAGACTATTAGGAACAAATATGTGCCAACAAATTTGAAACCCTGGAGGAAATGGATTTCTGGACACATACAAACTACCAAGACTGAACAAGAAATAAACAGAAAACCTGAACAGAGCAATAACAAGTAAGGAGATTGAAGCAGTAATCAGAAGACTTACAACAAAGAAAAGCCCAGGACTGGATGGCTTCACTGCTGAACTGTATTAAACTTTTAAAGATAAATTAATACCAATTCTTTTCAAAATGTTCCAAAGAAAACTGCAACAGATGCCATTCTCCCAAATTCATTCTATGAGATCAGCATCATCCTGATAGCAAAACCAGATACAACAACAACAAAAAACCTGCAAGCAAATATCCTTGAGGAGTATAGATGCAAAAATCCACAACCAAATAGTAGCAAACAGAATACAGCAGCACATTAAAAAGATTATCCATCATGATCAAGTGGGATTCATCCCAGGGTTGCAAGGATTTTTGAACATATGCAAATCAATAAATGTGATACACCACATCAACAGTCAAGGACAAAAAACACACAATCATCTCAATAGATGCCAAAAAAGCATTTGACATAATTCAACATACCTTCATATTAAAGACTCTCAACAAATTAGATATAGAAGTAAAATATCTCCACACAATAAAAGCCATATATGAGATATTTACCACCAATATCATCCTGAATGGGGAAAAGCTGAAAGCTTTTTCTTTAAGAACAGGAACAACATAAGGATGCTCACTCTCACCACTCCTATTTAGTATAATAAGTAATTCCCAGAGCACACAGGCAATCCAAACTGGAAAAGATGAAGCCAAACTGTCACTGTCTGCAGATGGCAGGATCTTATATATAGAAAACCCTGAAGACTCTTCCAAAAAACTTTTAAGAGCTGAAAAACAACTTCAATAAAGTTGCAGGCATAGAAAATGAATATACAAAAATCAATAGCATCTTTATACTACAACAACAAACAAGCAGAAAGATAAATCAAGCAAGCAAGCCCCTTTACAATAGTCACCAAAAAATAAATAAAATAAATAATGCATCTAAGAATCAATTTAACCAAGGAGGTGAAAGATCTCTACAAAGAGAACTACGAATCACTGCAGAAAGAAATTGAAGAGGACACAAAAGTTGAAAAGACATTCTGTGATCTTGTATTGGAAGAATTAACATTGTGAAAATATCCATACTACCCAAAGTGATCTACAGATTCAATGCAATCCTGATCAAAATACCAACGGCATTCTTCACAGAAACAGAAAAAAAAAAAAAAACAATCCTAACATCCATATGGAAAAAGAAAAGACCCCATATAGCCAAAGCAATCCTGAGCAAAATAAATAAAGTTGGAGGCATTACACTACCTGGCTTCAAATTATACTACAAAGCTATAGTAACCAAAATAACATGGTACTGGCATAAAAACAGAAACTCTAACCAGTGGAACAGAACGGAGAAACCAGAAATCAATCCACACACTTACAGACAACAAATATTTGACATGGACAACAGGAGCATATATAGCAGAAGGACTGCCACTTCGATAAGTGGTGCTGGAAAATTGGACACTCATATGTAGAAGAATTAAACTAGAGCTGTACCTCTTTCCATATACTAAAATCAACTCAAAATGGATAAAGACATATATAAAAGCAAAAACTATAAAACTCCTAAAAGAAAACATAGGGGAAACACTTCAGGAAGTAGGATTGGGTACAAACTTTATGAACAAGACCCCAAAAGTACAAGCAATAAAAGAAAAAATAAATAAATGGGATTACATCAAACTAAAAAGCTTCTGCACAGCAAAAGAAACAGTTAATAGAATGAAAAAACAACTTACAGAATGGGGGAAAATACTTGCAAACTATGCATTCAACAAGGAATTAATATCCAGAATACACAAGGAACTCAAACAACTTAACAGTAAAAAAAATAATTAACCCAATTAAACAATGGGCAAAGGAGCTGAATAGGAATTTCTCAGAGGAAGATAAAATAAATAAATGGGATTACATCAAACTAAAAAGCTTCTGCACAGCAAAAGAAACAGTTAATAGAATGAAAAAACAACTTACAGAATGGGGGAAAATACTTGCAAACTATGCATTCAACAAGGAATTAATATCCAGAATACACAAGGAACTCAAACAACTTAACAGTAAAAAAAATAATTAACCCAATTAAACAATGGGCAAAGGAGCTGAATAGGAATTTCTCAGAGGAAGATACATAAATGGCCAACAAACACACGAAAAAGTGCTCAATATCATTAAGCATCAGGGAAATGCAAATCAAAACCACACTGAGATATTATCTCATGCCAGTTAGACTGACCACTATCAAAAAAAGACAGAATAACAAATGCTGGCAAGGATGTGGAGAAAGGGAAACCCTCCTACACTGTTGGTGGGACTGTAAATTAGTGCAGCCATTACGGAAAATCATATAGAGGTTCCTCAAACAACTACAGATAGAACTACTATACAATCCAGCAATACCACTTCTGGGTATACATCCATAGGAATGGCAATCATCATGTGGAAGGGATACCTGCACTCCAATGTTCACTGCAGCTCTATATACAATAACTAAGAGTTGGAACCAACCTAAATGTCCACCTACAGACTACTGGATAAGGAAAATGTGGTATATATACACAATGGGATACTACTTTGCCATAAAAAGGATGAAATTCTACCATTCACAGCAACATGGATGAGCTTGGAGAAAATTATGTTAAGTGAAATAAGCCAGGTACAGAAAGAAATACTGCATGTCCTCACTCATAAGTGAGAGCTAAGAATTAAATAAGGAAGGAAGGAAGAAAGGAAAGAAGGAAGGAAACAACAATCACAATAATACATTGTACTTTCAGGAGAGACCAGAACTGCGGTTATTAGAAAGGGGAGAGAGGGAGGGAGAGGGGGTCAGCGAGAGAATAATTACGTATAGTAATGATGAATATGCTAATAATCATTTTGATTTGACCATCATATATTATACACAAGTACTAATAGTCAACTCTGTACCTAACAAATATGTATAATTAACTACGTTTCAATAAAAAGAATAATTTTAAAAGTTTGAGCTCCAATCACAAATCATAAATATTTAGAATTAAATATATATTTGTACATTTGTATAAGGCCTACATTTTACATTTATCATGGTAGCCTGAAGGAATGATTATTTTTCAACTTAAAACCACAGGAAGAGATATTGCCTAAAAAGAGGACTGATATTAAGATCATAAAAAATTAATGTTTTCTAAGCATTTCAAAAAAGGAAGGTGTTGCTTTAATGTTTGCTACTTTAACATTACATTAACTTGTTTGAATATATATGACCATTTTATAATCACATAGTATTTGTGTGACTAATTTCTTTTATCTTAAAAATTATATGGCCATGTGTGTTTTAAAATGTTTTAAAAGAAAATAAAAATATGAAATAGTACTAATCACAACACAACATACGCCTTTTAAAATCATAAAGAAAACCCCAAAGCCCTTAATAAAGTAGAACACATTTCAGAATAGAGACTTATTAAAAACTGTTCAGCACCTGTTGCAAAGACCTTATAGCATCACTCACTTAAAATATTAACTACTCTTAAACAGTAAATTAATATTACTATGAAGCTAGATCAACTACAAGGCATGCATGCGTACACACACACACATATACACACACTACTGTGGAAATTCTAAGCTATTTAAACACCATAAGCATAGGAATTATTTTTACATTTTAAAATGCAGGAGTAAAAAAGACTGCACCTTAAGAAACAGATAGCTTTTGATATTTTTCCAATTTACCAATTCCAGAAGATATCTGGGTATTTCTAAATTAATCCAATATACAGTAATGTATCAGTCACTTGGAGTGCTCTGGACGCTGGGATAGGTTCCTGAGAATTCCAGGGCCATTCCATGTAGAATATCAAAACTCCAGATTTACTAAAGCAGAAAACAAGCTTAGTACTATTATCTAAAGATAATTCAAAATTCTGTCATAAACTTATAATAGTTTTCAAACAACTTATGCCAAATATGGACTTACTTAAGTACTTCTTTAAATCTGAAACTTTAGGGAGTAACTATAGAACAGGGGGCAATATTATCTTTAATATTATTTCCCGAAATGACTTTCTAATTTTAAGATGAATCACAAATCGTTATTTTAATAAAATATGCGCATTTTTTAAAAAATTAGAATTACTTAAAATTGGAAGACTAATTTTTTATCACATAGCCTAAGGACAATTTAATTATATACCACACATTAAAACCTACAATAAAAATAATCATAGTTTGACCTATTCTACCTTTTATTTTATGTAAAGTTTTCAGTTAACACTTATGTTATATAAGGTTTATCTTATAAAAAGGTGACATTATTTTATGAGGATATCTTAGAAAATTGTTGTTATTTTAAGAAAATATTACCTACTGAAAATAACATGATGTAAAGAGAATCAGGACTCTTAAACAACTTACTTTGAATATCCACTCAAAGTCTGACTACTTTTCCATACTAGGGAACAAAGGCACAAGCTATCAAATACCAACAAAATATGGATGCTGTAGTGGTGAGAAAGGAGGTAGACAGGGAGAAAAAGAAATCCCAGACTTAAATTTTTTCGTTCAACTTTATCCACAGTTTGCATCGGTAATTTACATTTAGTGTTCCATTTATTTTTTAATGCATCAGAAAATCAATTATGATAGATCTGTGACCAATACAAACACTTCTGAATTCTTCAAAAAATTCAATTAGAAAAGTCATTAAACTAGCATTCTGTAAAGATAATTATTAAACAAATAGTAATAATGCATTTTACTCCTTACTTCAATTCTAATATATCCAACATCACTTCTTTCTTGTGCCATACAGTAATAAAATTTAACAGAAATAGCTATCTATTGAATTTTCAGGGCCTAATAAAATATTTTAGGTCACAAATCCCATTCAAATAATGATAGTCATTCTTAATTCAATAACTAACAAAGTAAATATAAAATAACCATAAAAACATTTAGGATAAATTTTACACTTAAAAACTACTGAAAGAAATACATCAGAGCCTTGGCATAATGTCCTTGGAGACTATGCTGGGAAACTACTTTAGAGGTGGTGCTGCCGGCTGGTTGGCACAATAGTAAATGAACTGCCATGGTATGAACCACAGATGGACCCATCTTAAATGGAATTTTGCTTTGTAGTAAGAATATTACAGTGTAGTTCTGGTGTATTTTCTCTTTAAAGTAATAATTAAGTGACAAGTAAGTAAAATGCAATAAGGAAATGCCTACAACTTCACTACTATTTCAATGATATGAAACAGGAAATTATTTGTAAAATAACAAACACTAAATTGGTTACTGAGTTCTAGAGCACAATAACTATGAAAGTAGCACAAATGACTGCTGTAGTTTTTAACAGTCACTTAATTTGTAACACTGTCAAATTTCTACATTAAAAACTCATCAACTAGTTATTTATTTGCCATTTTTACCTGTATTACCCAAGTTTTCTCTAGGGAGGCTGATTATGTCAATGAGGTTTGTTTTTTTTAGTTTTTGGGTTTTTTTTTTTGATTCAACTGAAAAATAACAACTAATTAGCTCAAATATTTAAAGTAATAAATTACTCATAATTTAATTATTCAATGTTTTAGTCATAAAAAGCTTTAATACTTAAAAAGCTCCAATTTGATCCTTGGGGGATGTAAAAAACACACCTGTGTTCTAAAGCCAAAATTTTATTATATGGCTTCATGCCAACCGATCAAAACAAGAAGAGTTATTCCTAAACCAACCTTTATTATAGCATTTGGCACACTTTTACCTTTTATATACACCCTTTGAAATACCCAGGCCAACATTTTTAATAAGTTGCATCCATAGTAAGAGGTAACAAGTGCAAATGATCATATATTTAAGATATGATACTTGCTTGGCTACTACAAAAGTAATTATTAAGGTTCTTCTACAAGAAACAGAGTTATTCATTACAGTAGTGGTTTTGAAAAATTCCTGCACCACTACCAACATAAATTTATCCATCTCTAAATTAAACAAGGACTTTATGTAACATAGTATCTCATGAAATATTTATAGACTGGTCTGTATTTAATGCAACATCAAGTTAATTGAGGATCACAAGGTTTACAGGATCCAAAAAATGGCCAGATTTAGAATAAAAACCTATTCCTCAATTGCTGCTCTCTGAATATAGATAAGGCAGCACCGATGTAATGTTCCTGAAAGTCAAGATACAAACCCAAACTCTGGCAGGATATTTATCAAAATGTCCTTGATAATTCGTACTTTGCTAGTTCTCAAAAACCTTACTGCTTTGTGTAACATTTTCAATACAGAAATAAAATACTTTTCAAATAATACATTTTAAAAGATGGTTTAGTTTTGCAAAATTAAATAGCATAAATTAAGCATATTAACTTTTTTTTGACAACATGAAATAACCAATTTAAGGAAAACTGCAATGGACTAACTAAAAAAACCACAAATGTCGCGACGTGAGGCACATTTAAATCCTCACATATTACTGACCTTACAAAATCTACTAAAATATTTTAAAGTTCCATTGACTCTGTTAATACATAAAAAAAACTGCAAAAATGCTTAAGACTATATATGAGATTCATCAATTACACAGGCACTTCACATGTAAACAATCTACAGTACAACTGAAAATATTTTGGCACCAACCTATAATACTAAAAGAATTTAAAATAAAGCCAAAGTTTTGCTTTTACTACTCATTTTTTCTAAAAAAGTAAGACCAAAGACTGAAGAAATTGTGTATAACGTAGAATTAGAAGTGTATTAAGTAACTCAAATATAGAATTGTTTTAAATTGCTAAAAAATGATTACCTTTATCCAGATGTTTATTAGTATGCTCCGATGTAAAAAAAATTAAGCCTAATATGACTATTAAATTGAAACTACATTTTAAATTTAGTATCAATCTGCTTTCTGAAAAATAATGAAGGTTATCAACTGACGTAGAAAAAAAGAGAATTTGAATTTATCAAAAACTCTTGTTAAATTAATCCAGTTTTCCCCCAAAAGAAGATTAGGTAATTCAAAGTTTAAGTTTGATTTTTTAATGTAATTTTATAAAAGCACTAAGGCTTGACCTAAGGCAAACTACTTTTAACTGCACATTCTTACTCATGAATTTGAGATTTTATTGTGAAATCACTTCAAATAAGTGAAACTATACACTTATGATTTTAAAATGTTATATCAAGCCATTGAAAGCTGAGATGCCTTGATCGTAGGTAGTTCAAGAAGTGCCTGAACTGTGACACCAACTTTCACAAGACCTCGTTCTTCCAAAATATGATGAGGCAAACACAGCCTTTCCTGGAAAAAAATTAAAAAAAGATACTTATACATTCATTTTTTAGTAGCATAATAAAATTTAAGTCAGGATCAGATTTTTAAACCTGCTTTCTGAAAAACTTCAAGTAAAAACTAGACAATTCTAACTTTTCTCTTATAAATATTGTAATCTAAAATGTGTTTAGATTCTTACCTTATACTAAAGAAATGATTATAGAGGTCGGCCTTATCTGAAATGCTGTCACTCTATACCTAAACCTCCTTCTCTACACAGAAAACGTTTGTAAAAGCATAGGCTGCCACTTCAGCCTTTCCCATTTACTACTCAACCACTGCTATCTTACACGTACCCCTAAAGCATCTGCCCACTAAAATTTCTCTGGTTAAAATCACCAATGCCTTCTTAAATGCCAAATATTGTGCATGTCTACTTGACCGCTCTGTCATATCACACCTTTGCTTAAAGTCTTTCTTGAAACCTTATCCTCTGCCTTGTCTAAGTGACACCACTCTTCCTACCTCTTCAACTTTTCTGACAGCAACTGTGAAATAGCTTTAATTAGCCTTCACTGATCCTCTTCTACCATCCTAAATGTTTCTAAGGGTTCTGTCTTCACCCTCTTCCCTTTGTATACTATATCTTCTCCTTGGTATTCTCATCTATTCCCATAGTTTTAACTATCCCTTCCATCCTGATGCCAGAACTACTTCTCCACCAAATTAACTAGTCCTTCTGTATTCTATATCTCAGTCGGTAATATACTCTTCAATCTCCAGTGACACAAACCTGAGAATCATAAGTCTTCTCTTTCTTCTTTACTACCATAACCCATTCACCAAATACTACTGATGATATCCCCAAGAGTTCTCGAAAATTATCTTCTCATCTCTTTTTTTATTGCTACATTTGTTGCCATCCTAACATTTTGCTTATTTCTTTAAATAACCACTAAAGTGTATATTAGGGGAAAAAAAGGTTTCAAATCAATGATTTCAGCTCCCATCTTAGAAACTAAAAAAAGAAGAGCAAATTAAAACAATGGCAAATAGAAGAAGAAAAGAGAGGAAAACAATAAGGTAAAAAACAGAAAACAATAGAAAAAAATTAATGAAAATAAAAATTAATTCACTGAGAAGATTTTTAAAAATTCAAAAACCTATAGCTAATAAGGAAAAAGAGAGCAAATACACAATATACCAATATCAGTAATAAGATAAGTGTCATCACAAGATATTCTACAAATATTAAAATGTTGACAAGGAGACATTATAAACAACTTTATGACAATAAGGTTGATAAATCAGATGAAACAAATGAATTCTTTAAAAGACACAATAAACCAAAACCTCAAGAAGAAACAGGTAATCATAATAGCCCTATATCTATTAAAGAAATTGAAACTAGTTAAAAAACTTCCCACAAAGAAAACCCCTGGCCCACATGGGTTACTAATGAATTTGACTAAATATTTTTAAAAGAAATAATACCAATTATACACAAAATCTTCAAAAATAGTGAAGAGAAGGGAATACTTCCTAACACATTTTGAGGTCAGCATTACCTTGATAACAAAAGGCAAAGACATTAAAAGAAAAGAAAACTAAAAACCAGTATCCCCATGTACATAGATGCAAACAAAACATCTAAACAAAGTTTTAAAAAATTAAATGCAACAACAACATAAAAACAGTAACAATAATGACAAAAACAAAAATCCATCATGATCAAGTGGAGTTTATCCCAGAAATCCAGGATTGAATTAACATCTGAAAATCAATGTAATTCAAATATTAAAAAACTAAAAAGAAAACAAAAAACTGATCAGTAGATATAGAAGAAGCACTTCACAAAATCCAACTTCCATTCCTGATAAGAATTTTCAGCAAACTAGAAACAGAAGGGAACTTCCCCAACAGGTCATCTATGAAAGATCCACAGGTAGCATAATACTCAGGGGTAGAAGACTGAAATTTTCCTCAAAAAATCCACTCAAAGATGTCCACTGTTGCCACTTCTATTCAACACTGTACTAAAAGATCTGGCCAGGGCAATTAGGCAAGAAAGAGAAATAAAAGACATTCAGTTCAGAAAGGAAGAAGAAAAAAATTCTATTCATGGATAACATGAACATTCCTACAGAAAATTCTATGAAATCTACAAAAGCTACTAGAACTAATAAGTATGTCCAGCAAGATTGTAAGATACAAGATCAATACATAAACACCAACTGTATTTCTACATATTAGCAACAATTAGAAATTAAATTAAAACAACTACATATATAACATCATGCAAAATATGAAATACTTAAAGATAAATCTGCAAGACCTATACAGTGAAAACTACAAAACATTGCTGAGGGAATTAAAGAAGACCTAAGTAAATGAAGGGTTATTATTTGTTCATGAAAGTGAAGACTCAATATTGTTAAGATATAATTTCCCTATGTTGTTCTATAAATTCAACACAATTCCTACATTAATCTCATCACTTTTTTTTCACTTTTTGGAGAAGTTTACAAGCTTATTTTAAATTTAAATGGAAATGCAAGGGACCTAGAATAGCCAAGCCAGTTTTGGAAAAGAAGGACAAAGTTAGAGGACTAATGCTACTTGATTTCAAAATGCACAGTGAGCAAGACAGTGTTTTACTCATGTAAATATAGGGGGAAAAGGGTCAATGAAACATAATAAGGAATCCAGAAATAAACCCATGAACATATGGACAAATAGTTTTTGATACAGATACAAAGGCAAATGAATAGAGAAAAGATAGGCTTTTAAACTAATGTTGTGGGAAAGACTGAATACTCACAATAAAACACAATGAACTTAGGGAAATTCCTCAAAGTCATAAAAGGGCATCTCCAAAAACCCACAGTTGATATACTAAATGATGAAAGACTAAATACTTTCCCTTAGAACAAGAACAAGACAAAATGTCCACTCTTTAACTAGAGGTTCTAGCAGGGGCAATTAGGCAAGAAGAAGAAATGAAAAGTAAAACTACCTCTCTTTGCAGATAATGTGATTTGTACAGAGAAAATTCTAAGGAATAAAAACACACAAAAAACTATCAGAACTAATAAATGAGTTCAGCAAGGTTGCGTGTTCAGCAAGGTTGCAGAATACAAGATCAATGAAAGAAAATCACTTGTATTTCTATACAGTAGCAATAAAAAAACTGAAAGTGAAAATAAGGAAATAACTATATCTACAATAGCACAAAAGAGAATAAAATACTAAAGACTTAGCAAAAGAATGAAAGTCTCAAACATTGAAAAGTAAAAAACACTGTTGAAATAAATTTTAAAAGATCTAAATAAATGGGAAGACATCTTATGCTCATAGATCAGAAGACTAAATATTGTGAACATGACAATATTCTCCAAATTGTTCTAGAGATCCAGTGTAATCCCTAACAAAATTCCAGCTGTCTTTCCTTATAGAAATTGGCAAGCTAATCCATCCTAAAATTGATATGTAAATGCAAGGGACCCAGTACAGCCAAAAGCACCCTGAAATAGAACAAAGATGGAGGACTCACATTTCCTAATTTCAAAAGGTACCACAAAGCTAAAATAAGCAAGACAGTGTGATACTGGCATAAGGAATTCAATGGGAAAGAATTGAGAGTTCAGAAATAAAGCCTTACATTTAAAGTCAATTGATTTTCAAAAAGGGTGCCAAGACAAGTCGATGGCAGAGAGAAGAGTCTTCTCAACAAATGGTGTAGAGAAAACTGGATATCCACATGCAAAGGAATGAATTTGGACCCCCTACCTCATGCCGTGCATAAAAAAGAACTAAAAATGGATTACACATCTAAATGTAATAAGTAAAACAATAAAACTTTAGAAGAAAATACAGGTGTAAACCTTTGTGACCCTGGTTTAGGCAACGTTTTCTTACGTATGTCATCAAAATCACAAGCAACAAAAGGACAAAGAAATAAACTGGACTTCATCAAATTAAAAGCTTTGTGCTGCAAATGATACCACCAAGAAAGTGAAAAGACAAACCATACAATAGTCAAAAATATTGTCAAATCATATATCTCATAAACAACTTGTATCTAGAATATATAACAAACTCCTACAACTCAATAATAAAAAGATGAATAAATGGACACTGAATTTGAATTGAATAAACATTATCAAAGAATATATACAAATCATCAATAAGTACATGATAAGGTGTTCAACACCATTAACCATTAGGGAAATGCAAATCAAGACCACAATGAGATACCACTTCACACTCACTAGGATGGCTAGAATCAAAAAGGTAGACAATAACCATTGTGAGGATGTACAGAAATTAGGACCTTCATATACTGCTGGTGGGAATGTAACATGGTGCAGCCACTTTGCAAAACATGTTGAAAGTTCCTCAAAAATAAAAATACAGTTACCATATGACCTAGCAACTCCACTCCTAGGTATGTAAACAATAGGACTGAAAATAAGTGTTCAAACAAAAAGTTATTCATGAATGTTCACAGCAGCATTATTCATAATAAAAAATAAGTAAAAACAATCCAAACGTCTACCAACTGATGAATGAATAAATAAAATGTGGTATGTACAAACAATGAGATGCTATTCAGCCATAAAAAGAAATGAAATACTAATTTATGCTACAACACAGATGAACTTTGAAAACATTACACCGAGTAAAAGAAGTCAGATACAGAAGAGCCCATATAGTATGATTTCATTATATATAATGTCCAAAATAGGCAAATCCATAGAGACAGAACAGGGGAAGGACTGCTAATGGGTAAGGGATTTCTTTCTGGGGAGACAAAAATATTCTAAACTTAGATTGTTGCGACTATTGCCCAACTCTGTGACTGTACTCAAAACCATTTAATTGTATACTTTAAATCAGTTACTATATCCCAATAAAGAGGTTTTTTAAAAAAATCAATGCATATACCCAATTTCAGGCTTAAAAAAAAGAACTTCAATCCATACCTTGCACCATATACAAAAATTAACTCAAAATTGATCATAGACCGCAGTGTAAAACCTAAGATTATAAAACATCTAGAAGTAAATGAAGGAGAAGACCTATGCGACTGTGGGTTATGCAAAGATTTCTTAGGTTTGACAAGAAAAGCACAATGTCAAAAAAAATATTAAATTATACTTCAGAAACTGAAACTCCTGGGCCGGCCCGGTGGCGCACTGCTACAGTGCGCCGCTTGGGAGCGTGGTGGCGCTCCCGCCGAGGGTTCGGATCCCACATACAGACCGGTTCCCGCTCACTGGCTGAGCGAGGTGTGGGAGCAACACCGAGGGTTGCGATCCCGTTGCCGGTCCCGGTCCGGTACGGGCGCGACACTGAGGGTTGCGATCCGTTGCCGGACACGAAAAAAAGACAAAAAGGAAAAAAAAAAAAAAAGAAACTGAAACTCCTGATTTTTGAAAGACACTTTAAGGAAAATGAAAAGAAAAGCCAAAGACTAGGATAAAATATTGTAAATCAAAGATCAGATAAAGGACTTTACCTTTAATTTATAAAGAAATCTCAAACTTAATCATAAAAAAACCCACCCAACTAAAAAAGACAAAAGATTAGAATATACACTTCCAAAAAAGAAGATATGCAGATGTCAAATAAGCCCTTAAAAAGATGATCAACATCATTAGTCTTCAGGGAAATGCAAATTAGAACTTCATTGGCAAGCCAGTACATACCTATTATGACTAAAAATTTTAATAGAATGATCATGCTAAATGTTGGTGAGGATGTGGAGGAACTGAAACTCTCATCCACTGCTGAAAGGAACGTAAAATGGTACAACCACTTTGGAAAAGAGTTTTGTACTTTCTTAAAATTTTAAGCATGTACCTCCCATATGTTCCAGTTATTCTACTACTAGGTATTTACCAAAAATTAAAGAATGTGTATATCCATACAAAGACTTGTATACAAATGCTCACAGCAGCTTTATTTGTAATAGTCCCTAAAACCTGAAGCAACCCAAAGGTCAACAGATCAACAAACTGTGGTATATCCATGCAATGAAACAATACTCAGAAATAAAAAGAAATAACCTATTTACACATGCAATAACACTAATGAGACTTAACATAATTATGCAAACTGAAAAAAGACAGAAAAAAACATACATATTTTATGTTTCCATTAATATAAAACTCTAGAAAGTGCAAACTAATCTGTAATGACAGAAAGCAGATAAATGGTTGCCTGGGGAAGAAAACATTGCAAAAAGACACAAGGAAACTTTGGGGGGGGGGTAGTGAATATGCTCATTATTTTGACCGTGGTGATGATTTAACAGTGTGTGCATATGTCAAAACTTAACACTGTGCACTTTATTATATGTCAGTTATACTTCAATAAAGCTGGAAAAATTAGAAAATATCTTTTTTAAAAAACTAAATACAAAAAATTGATTATATATTGCCATTTCTGAGTTCAGGGGAAAACACAGTGAAGCCAAAATTAAACTCTTAAAAAAATGGCAAAACAAAAAAATGTATATAATGCAACAATAGATGAGAAAAAAAATAAAAAACCTTCTTAAATTCTCTATTTTCTCACTAAGAGATTAAGAGTACAAAAAAGAAAGAACATAAACATTTTTGAGAAGTAAACATTTCAAATATCATATGTCAAGCATAGAGAAAAGATAACTAGAGAACAGCATGTGGTTTCCAAATTACACAGTAAGTTCACTCACTGATTCTCTATATATTAAATTATATTTATTCATTTGAAAAAAGAGCTTAAAGTGGGACCTATAGGCCAGATTAAAAACTGTTCAAGAGAGTTTAATAAGCACAACCTGATTGTGATCTGCTAACAATGTTATTTCTCTCAACAGTCAATCATGTTGAGGTTAGGTTTATGTTTTCAAAAAAGGCAATATTTTGACTACACATTTTTATTATATATACACAATACTGCTTTGATCATTATTTTTATAGTATTTCAACTGATATGCAAAACATAAGCCAATTCCTACAAATTTCAAAGTCCGTCCAGTGAAAAAATTATCGTAATATGCTACTAAGTTTCCAATTTGACATTTTAAATAAAGTTTAAAAGGTTGTTCACATTGAATGTGAGTCTTCTAATCAGAGTGTATCCATGGATTTACAAAGGAATCCAAATGTTCTTGATCAGATAAAATTAATATGACCACTAAGTTATGTTTAGTCAGTAATGTGTGTGATAAGTAAACTTTTCCATATATGTAGCTATTTTATAAGTGACCTTTAAAAGCAGATTTAAAACATTCATTATATAGCTGCTGCAGTTAAAGCTGGGGCTTAGTAGAAGGTACCAAGAGAAGATATTAATTTTCATGTTCAGAAAGCATTATTCATTGCTATTGTGAAGAAAAACCCCAGTTTGCATGTAATAAATTAATACTTAAATGATCATTTTGTTGGATAAATAACAATTACCTGTGAGACACCCAGCTTTTTACAAGCATCAAGAAAATTTTCTACATTTCTTCTACATTTTGCCATGCTCAGTTTGGGCTGTAAAAGAAAAAAAGATTATTTTTCAGGCATTTTCGTACAGAATTTAATCAAAACTGAAAATTGAATATATTGAGGAATGTTATTTAAAGACAGTTTTAAGAAGCTCTATCTTCCTTTAGAGAACTAAGAAATCATAGACAAAACTTACCACCGCTGGTGATGGTACATGAATACTAGCCACAGAACGTGGCCTTATATGATTGGCTAAATGGCAAAGAACAACTCCATCCATCAGTGCAGCTCCAATGTCATCAGGCAAAATAACTTTTAACCTGGATTCAAGATTCTATTAAAAAAATGGGCACAAATCACAGATATTATATCAACACATATGTTATATATTTATATTACTAATTATTATATAATCCAAGAATTTTAAAGGAGCATTGAAAATAAATTCCATATACCTTATTAATTTTCCAAGTTAAACCTATTCCATTTCTACAAAGCAGATCCAAAAGGTCAATCTGACTTACATTGCGAAGTTGTCGTATTTGCTCTCGCTCTTCCCGTAAATGTTCCATCTTTCTTCTCATTGTAAAGCCTGGATCTGCTGCTCCATATTCCTGACGAGATGAGCGGCTAAAAGCTATAAAAACAGAAATTTCCTAACTCGTTACAAAGCTAATAGGAATGATCAACCATTGATGAGGAGAAAGGAATGATAATAAGAATCAGTACAAAATTGCATAAAACACCATTATTTATTAATACATTCTAAATATTTCTTAAAGAATATATTTGAACTCTACTTATCTGCATAATTGAAAGCAACAGGGAAGACAAGTGCTATGATTTGTACCACCTATACATGTTCTTATTTAAACATACGTTATTAGAAACTTATGACCCAGGTTAAAATGATTATTGAACATATGTCAGCCTTTTATCTTTAAACAAAATGGAATTATTCTTGAAGGTCAATACAGTTATTCATGAATAAAAACTATAATTCAATACCTTGCCAAGTAACATGGATCCATTTTCTTTTGGGCTTGCCAAATGCGAAAAGATCCCTTTTTAAAACCACAATATAATGGAGTGCTATAATTTCAAACAGGGTTTGGTCTGCTGGCAGAGTGGTCATTCTAACAGCAGTCACAGTAGAGTAGAAATAAGACTGCAGTATATCTAAGGCAAAAAGCTGAGGTTTCAGGAGCTTGAAGGTAAAGAGGAAGAAAGAAATGGGAATGGGAATTGGAAAGACAAATAAGGTAAGAGAAAATTACTTTTAGGAGAGGGGAAAGTATCTATGTGTACTTAAAACTATGGAATCAGTCCCATTTAAGCTGGGAGATTCTAGCTTCAAACATAACCAATACATTTTATTTACAGAATATATATTTACCTGATCGAGGCTTCAAGCCAAAGGGACCATGTGAAAAACCATCAGTTCTGTCATAGGCCTAAAAACAGAAAACAAATTAAACGTCTTTTCTTTCAAAATAATCAAGGTACTTATTCATATCCATTCCAACTTGAGAAGCACTTATTTTTTCCATGATTAATAGAGTAGACAAAGGTAACTTGTATCTCTATTCAAGTTGATCAATTTCACTTTTAAAATGTCAATAAAGGGCCGAGCCCGTGTCTCACTCAGGAGAGTGCGGCGCTGGGAGCGCAGCAGCACTCCCGCCGCGGGTTCAGATCCTATATAGGGATGGCCACTGAGCTCACTGGCTGAGTGCAGTGCGGCCGGTCTCAAAAAAAAATAAAAATAAAAAAATGTCAATAAATATTTGCTAATTGACCTGACTACTTACACTTTTAAAAACTTCTCATAGTATAAGATTTAAAAAAAAAAAAAAAAAACATAAAGGACATAAAGTAGATATTATTTTTTTAAAAGAAAAACCAGATTGAAGTCTCCAAAAAATGAAGTAAACTTCAATGAAAAGATAGGTGAATTTAAAAACATTTACTGCCTATCTATATGGACTTGACACTTAACAGTGGATAATCTGAGGCCAATCTACATATTCATACTAATAGAGGCTGCAAAATGATAGATGATAAATTATCTCTTCTATTTGAATGCACACTGTTTTAAAGTGCTTTTACATGCAGTGGTGTGCTGTGGAAAGATACGTGGTATATTAGACAAATCTGAACTTGGAGTCAGAAAGCTGAGGCTATGTCTTGAGCACAACACTTAATTTCTCTGTGATTATTTCTTCATCTTTCAAATGGGGGCATTGTGAAGAATAAATGAGATAACTAAGTGAAAGTACTTTGCAAATTATAAAGTGATCAAATAATGTAATCTTATTTAATCTGTGCAACAACTCTGTGAAGTACATAGGCCTAGCCTTCAGTCACTTCTCTGTCATTTATTGACTAGGTCTTTAGGAAAATTAACAGTCTCTTCAGCTGTAAAATGATGAGAATGATACCTAGTTCATGGGACTGCATTTAGGTTCAATTTACGGGAAAGCACTTTGTTAACAGTAAAGCACTACACTAATAGGTTTTACCATTCTCCTTTCACACGTGAAATTGAAGCAATCAGAATTCTATAGGTTATCTGAATCTTCTGCTGATTAACATGTGATATGCTGTCCAAACTGAATGTTAGTTGAGCTGCCAAAACACATGCTCAACACCCTCGAAATCCACAAGCCTCACAGATTGTTTTCATTGTTATGGTTAAATTGTTATGAATTCTTAGATGAAAATTTCACTTACCCAAATGCAAGCAAAAATATATTATAAAAACATGTAATTTATTTGAGAAAATTGACACTACTACTCTCCCCAAGGAGCATAGATCATAAAATCAAAGTGTCTAGGCAAATAATAGTAGTCATTTATATGCTTACATTTGTTACAACTTAAAGTAAAAGAAAGGATTTACAAAAGCATATGACAAAGACCGATTTTAGGATACCTTAATTTAAATTGTTTACTAAAAGAATGTATACCATTTTATCTGCCATATAAATAATTAAAAAACATGTTTATAAAACTAATCTCCAAGTCCATGTAAAAGTTTTATAATGCAAGTCACCCAAAACAATAGAGTAGGAATATTGGCTTTTTTTTTTTTTTTAAAAAGATGACCGGTAAGGGGATCTTAACCCTTGACTTGGTGTTGTCAGCACCACGCTCAGCCAGTGAGCGAACCGGCCATCCCTATGTGGGATCCGAACCCGGGGCCTTGGTGTTATCAGCACTGCACTCTCCCGAGTGAGCCACGGGCCGGCCCGGAATATTGGCTTTTAAAAAAAGTAACACCAGTTACATATAATGAGATACTATCTTTGTAACAGTGAATTTAGACCACCCAAACATTCAAAGTCCTGAATTCACCAAACAAATACATAATCATTTATTTCCTAATGTCAACACACTTTGGAATACTAAATAAGGCAGTGTGAAGTAGAAGAGATAATGTTTAGAATTTTTTAAATTTATCTTGTTGTAAAGCAGTAGGTTTAACTGAATTAGAAGAAAGTCTTTCAAACCACCAGAGAATTTTACTGAGAATTCACAAACTGTAACTTTCATGCACCTGTTCTCCCCGTAAAACCCCTCTTAGGTCTACGATGCCAGTAAATGTGTAACCTCCTGTCGATAGGAACAACCCACTGCAGGGATGTTTCTCGTGGAAAAAGGAAGTTTCTCTTGCATTGCTTTCAGACCTAACTGGTTACAAGAAAAACCAAAGGCCATTGTACAATGCTGAAGTATTTCTTCGAATTTAAAATTTTAAAGCTGTTATTAAAATATATCATTTATTTTGAAATGCAGATGAACTAGAAAGCATACATTTTATAAAGTGAATTCTCTTCTGTGTTCTACAGACATTTTCCAATAAAAAAATCATAAACAAACAAGTGACATTTACTATAAATATTTGTATGAAAAGATGGTATTCTTAGTGATGGATCTTGGATGTGACCGGCACCATTGTGCACACAATAAGCACAAAATAGCCACCGGCCTTGTATTCCACTCCAGCACCAAACCGCTCCCCACTTCCCTTTACGAGAAGCCTCATGACTTAAACAGAAATCCTTTTGCTTCTGCAAGGGCACAATTCTCCACCCTGGCTGCATAGCTTCCATATTAGCATAATGCCCCTCCTTGATTACATCAGCCAGCCCTTGGCACCCTATATAAGCTCTACCACCTCCACACCTGGTGCCGTCCCCCATTTTGAGGGCAGCCCTGGGCTGCCTGTCACTTTGAACACAGCCCAGCAGATTCTTTTCCTTTAATAAAGCTTGAACAGTACCCGGCATCTCGGCTCACTTTCTTTCACTTAGAATTTTTTTACAGGCTAGAAGGTTTGCACGAACTAACCTACTATGAATTTTAAAATATGGGTGAATAAGTTATACAGTAAAAATAAAGATGAGGTTAGAAAGAAGAGGTAAGGAAGAACCCTATATAAAACAAAGAAAATGTTAAATGTGTGTGTGTGTGTGTGTGTGTGTGTGTGTGTATAAAAACAGAACTTGTACCTCAGATGACACTAGAGATTGTGGTGACAAATTAGCATTATCACTGTCTTGCTAAAAAAAGTAAAAGATGAAAGATGTAATTAAAATACAAATGATGATTTAAACATGTAAAAAGAAAACCAAAAATTGTTTTCATCAACTGCTAAAGGAAGAATCCAGAATATGCAATCTAGCACCTTGCCAGTCAAAGTGTGGTCTGGGAACAGCACATTCTTTGGAAGTCTGTTAGTAATGCAGAATCTCAGGTCCCACCCAAAACCTAAGGAATCAGAATCTACATTTCAATAAGATCCCCAAGTATTAAGTACTTTCATGAGCACTTTAAAGTTTGAGAGGTACTCTCTACATACAATAACAATGATGTGTTACACTTTGAGACATGCAAATGAAGGCATGTAAAACCTCCTTCACCCAAAATAAAAACTTTTATCTGGAAAATTAAGTATATTTAATATAGGCTTAGAAATAATTAGCAAGAATTTAATTGAATAAAACATTAAATGTTCCCTTATTTTTTTAATGACTATTCTACTGCCAACCAAATACAAAAACCCTGACATTTAACCTTAAATATGTACAGCACATAGAACACTTATTCATTCATTCAACAAATGATTATTGGCTACCTATCACATGTCAGACACTGTGCTAGACACTGGGAGTACTGAAATTTAGTAAAACATCCACTCAAGGATCTCTTAGGCTAGGAAGAAAATAGATTCAGATGTACAGGTAATACAACATTTTCAGTACAATTGGGAGCTATGCATGGCATATTATGAGACAAATAAAGGGCACTTGGGGAGACAATGGGGATGGTGGAAAAAGACAAGTTTCCTGAGAAAGTAAAGACTAAGTAAAAAACTGCTTACCAGAAAAAAAGAAAAGGAACAACATTCCAAGATGAGAGGACAAGAACAATAAAAGACACAGGATCAATAAATGAAAGGATGAATGCAGAAAACCTTTGAGCAGTTCTGTATTGCTGGAGGGTAAGGTGAAAGGAAGAAAAATTGTGAGTTGAGGCTGATGTGGTAAGTAGGGTCTTGGTCAAGAAGGATCTAGGATTTACCTTCTAAGTTATGGGGATAAACTGAAAGTTTCTAAGCAAACGGATGACCTGATTATATCTGTGTTCTTTGAAACGATCATTCTGACTGCATGGGTCTATGAGATATATATCCAGCAGAGATTCTAAGCAAGTAGGAAGATGGATACAAGATTACAAGGTAATGAAGCTCATGGGAGAATTCTAGAAATGAGATGTAAATTTGAAAAGCATCAACAGGTACACAGTGTTATTCATTGAAGACTTGAGAGCTGGTAAAGCCACACTAGAGACCATGCAGTGAAGCCATGCCCTGGCAACCAATACTTACGGTCAAACCGAGGTCTTGTGGACCTTGTGCAATGGAAAGCTAGAGGCAGGTGTAGAGGAATTGATTGTGTTCACATACAGGTAAATATTACCAAACATACCCACACAAAATATGTCATTCAGGCTTAATCTTAGATACTAACAATGAAAAGATAACAAGCTACTGGCATAACTGCATTTCATTTACCCAAGAAAATTCCACTGGAGAGACCAAGGAGAGAAATCAGCATCTGGGCTGGGAAAAGATAAATCATCTAGCTCTATTCATTATTTTTCCCTGTGTGATTCTATTTCCTAAAAATAAAGGCGTTTTTAAAAGCCCTGCCAAGTACCCAACATCAAATTAACTACCAATTTATCCAACTAAAAATACACAAAACTTGGGCCGGCCCGGTGGCGCACTGCTACAGTGCGCCGCTTGGGAAGTGCAGCGGTGCTCCCGCCGAGGGTTCGGATCCCACGTGCAGACTGGCCGCTCACTGGCTGAGCGACGTGCGGGAGCAACACCAAGGGTTGCGATCCCGTTGCCGGTCCCGGTCCGGTACGGGCGCGACACTGAGGG